ACAAAATGGGAGAACACAGGCTTTATGAGAATAAATGTTCATGATAGAGAGGAAAACTCAGTTCTGTTATCCTCGAGACCCTACTCCGTAACTGCAGTATGTCAGCACTGACAGTCTCAGGGCTTTCAGAACTAACTGCAATCAGAACTGAGCTGGGCAATAGTTCACGTTTCCTCACTTCCCATTTTCACCTGACCTGCCTTCTGTGCTCCCTCTGCAGTACCCAAAACAGAGCTGTAATGGAACCCAGCTTCCTCACCCATGGGAGATGTAGGGTTTCACTGCATAGCCATTAAGCAGCTGCTTGTCCTCTTGCACAGAAGAATTAAGTAAGACATCTCTCACCTTACTTACGCTAGTGAGAATTTCAATCCCACATGTAGCTGATAATAGAGGAAAACCCAAAACATAACCATAGAATGAAGCTGAATGCTGATGATAACAAATAAACCCATGTGAATGACACTTGCAAATGTGTCATAAACTTAACTACAAAAAATAAAGAGCTACTTAGGTTTTTCATTTTAAACTTTGTATTACTTGTTGTAAGGTTTGAAAAAGCTAAATGATTTAATCCTTTTCTATTTAAAATGAGCATTGATTTTTTCCCCTGTGTTCTGAAAAGAGCCAAAACCAATGCAAATGTTTTTATCCAGGAGGCTGTAATGGCACAATTGCAAAGCAAGGCTCCTGTCAGATTGCATCTCTAAACTGTGGCATTGCTCTGTTGAAAGCCAAGTGGAGAAGATACTGTTATAGTTTCACCTCCAGCTGTTGCTGTATTATTCATGGACAAGTTAGAGGCTTCTGCCAAGATCACTTCTAATCCTTCAAATGGTTCTGTCTGGACCATCATCTTGCAAGTGTCCTTTGAAGTTCTTTGTTTCTCTTGTGGAATGTTTATGCTTGATGTTTTAGACATGTTTTAACATTTACATTACCTGATTACAAGTCAGCTCTGCTCCAGGTACATTTCAAAGGGATTGCTGCTAGCCACGTTTAACTCCACCTGGCTGAGATTAACTAGCACATCTAAACTTCAAGTGGTATCTTTGGACCTACTTGCTTGCCTACCTTTTCCACTGGTGAAGACAATAAGTTGATTTTTCTTTAAAGGAACAAGACTTAGGCATTCATGCACTGCCTATCAGGCTTATTTCCCTCTGTAACTTTTGAAACACTGACCAAGTTTAATCAAATTTACTTAGTGGAATATACTACATTTCTGTGCACCTTGTAAAAGAAAGGCAGTTGAGCAGTGGCTAGGAAAAAGCTAAAAAATTAGTCCAACTCTTATTAGGGATTGCACATAGGAGCTGTCTCAAGAAGTCTTCAGGAAATGGCTTCACTTGTCAGTGTTACCTGTGGTACTCTTCCCTCTCCCGTTCTCCTAGTATCTAAGCCATTCACTGTTCAGCTCAAAGCAGGAAAGATACTGCTACTGATTCAGCAGATGGGGAACTGAGGCACAATATGATGAAAACTCAGACTTTCAAAGGTATTTATGCACCTCTCAGTCTAAATCTGATGGCCTGGATTTGAAGTAATTTGCCCAAGGTCAAACAGGAAGCATGCAGGAGACCTGGGGACTGAATCCAAGTTTGCACCTTGCTCTTTGGACCACACTTCCCAAATGAGATGTAGTAATTTCAGAATCACACTCTGCCCAGCCCCCTCTTTGGCTGGATACCAGTCTGCTGTGAATAAACACATCCTTTGGACCTCATGGTGTAGATGTCAAAGCTGGCTACTGTTATAGCTCTGCCTCTCAGGTGTACTGTCACAGTACAGACCCTATACATGAGTCCCTTTCAGAGCTGTGGGACCAAACAGGGTGAAGGCCACCTGAGCATCTAGTTCCTTCCAAGCGTAGCAGAAATGTTACTGTTAAAGGGGCAATACTAGCTAAAATTGGGTAGCTAAAGAATTTTTCAACCCAACTGAGGGCTACTGATCCTTGGAAAAATAAAAATATCCTGAACTTCAATTAATTCCATCTGATCTTATCCTACTGTGACTTGGTTAATTACCTGCAGATAATTTCTTCTGAATTTCCACATTCAGTCTTTTTTCACACAGTGTTGCCTGGCACTGTAGCAGCTTCCAAGTACCTTTTAATTAGGATTGTCTAATACAAATAAGAATACTCTAATCTAAAAAAAAAAAAAAAAAGAAAAAAAGAAGAGAGATAACGAGCATTAGAAAGATCACCGTTAAGAATGAAAATAGATTCCTGAAGTACCATGGAGTTCATAGTTTGACAACAGACCTATTTCCAGTCTGTTACACTCAGAATTTCACAGTAATGGGAACGCTGGAGAATGTTAGATGAACCCCCCACTACTACCCAGTGCTATTTCTACAAAAATTGTAATTTCTTATTTCAAACACATAGTTTTCCAAATGATAAGAGTCCAGACCACAAGTAAGGCACATTTTGGAGCAGGCTGACATATCTGTTCTGGTTCAAAGAAGCATACATGCCCACCTTTGACAGCTTTCTTAGCTAACACATACTAAGTAGAACAGAAGATATCTGAAGATTCTGATTTCCTTACTGAAAACTCCAGACACAAAATGCCAACCTCACCAAAGAAATCACAACCTCACAAAACTCCCTCTTACATCTTACTGCAGTTAACTCCACCTGCTCTTGAACATTCTTCCCCTCTTTTTGTATAGACAGAATTTGAGCTATCTAAAAGGAGACGTAGATTTGGTACAGAATGAGGAACACGCTGCAGACTTTAGAAATTATATGCAAACCTGGAGAATATAAAATCTAAATGACATGACAGGGAATTTGAGACTGTAACTGATAAGCAGCTAGATAACAATGCAACAAGCATTGTACTAGATGATTTATCAAGGTTCACACAAGACACCCTGATATCATTCAGAGGGGAGATGCAGATCACATATGTTGAAATACACCTTTTTGGGATATATGGCATGAATATAATGGATGTATTTGTGTATGTACTTAGCATATGGATAAAATAATAAACCAATTAAAGGCTGCATGATAAATGTGTGACAGAAATTGTTATTAATGGAGGAACACAAGATAAAAATGTATGTAAAGGGGAATGCTGGCTTGGGCTCCCTGGCTTCAGCTGGCTGACAAGTTCAACTACCGAGTGCTGTTCTGTCACCAGTAACAGTGAACACTTGTTCCCACTATGCCATCCTGAAGCAAAACATTGAGTAAAATAAGTGGAAAAGTAGTTTTCCATCAATACAACACTATACATGCCAGCAAAAAAAGCCACAGGAGAAACAATAAGGTTTTGGTTTTTTTTCAGGTTTGAAAAATGTACAGTAGAAAGATTTGAGGGCTATACTTTCAAGGAAAGATTCAAGGTACCAACTAGCTGCTCAAAAATTGGGCATTGTCTGCTCCATCCCCTGAAGAACCTGCACACTGGTCAGTGTTCATCTTTCTACTCACCTGTGATGGCAGAATCCACCAAAGATCTTAAAACTGCACAGCAAGATGAATAGTGTATTGTCACGGTATTATATTTAGTGAACACAAGCTATAAAATAGATAAAGGGGAAAATGCATTCTCTAAGATCCCAAAGTTAATGAACGCTCTTGCATTACTTTACATCTTTGAGCATTTTTTTAAAAAAAACCCACTAATTAATGCTTACAGCACCCAGGAGGCAGAATCAAGCTGCATAAAGCATTTGCAGTAAAAACCTGAGGCCATGCAAAATTTGTCTCATGTTTCAGTTTGAACTCAAAACAACCAAATACATGGACATTTGAGTGAATCTGAATCTTAATATCGAAATATATGAAACTGATGTTGTTACGTGAAACCAAGTGGAAATGTGTAAGGCTTACTGAGTTTTGCTTTGTTTAAATCCAAATGCCAGAAGAAAGCTAGGAGAGGAAGGCACTGTATTTGTCAGGTTATTAACCAGAACAACGCTAGCAGAGGCCATTGTGAAATACGAGTTTTGTACCAGTTAATGTAAAATACTTAAGACCCTCAAATAATGAAGAATGAGTATAGGTTAGTAAGAACTACACAAACCAAAACTATTCTTCTTACTTCCATTGTGGGAATTGCACGTACACATGTGCAGATGTGTGCAATGTCTTTGGCTGCCTTCACCTAGATGAAAAATTCCTCTCTCCAAGTGAATGGCAGGACTGGTGGATTATGAAGTGTTTCATATAAATGCTTCATAAGAGAGGTTTATAAATCTCAGTGGAGAAGTCAGTCCAACTACCCTCTTCACCCAGCAGCCCGTATTTCTTCAGAAGAAAGCCTAAAAGTGGAAGGAAAAAGTGCTCGTTAGGCTCCATATCGCCAAGGGGAAATGTTTCTTTCAGGTTTGCAGTGAAATTTTATTTCTGTAGAGGGAAGGGGTAACAGAGAACCGCTGACATTCTCACCCAAGGCTTTGTTCACCAAAGTGTTGTTTGGGACCTCGGTTCCGTGGGCCATCGGTCTCCTTCATCGACCTCCTCTTCATCCTCGGTCTACCTGAGACCTAGGAGGCCACCGGGGCCTGTAACGTGTTTTCCTCTCAGGCGATGAGCCCAGGGGCAGGTGTAGGGCAGCTCCGAGTAGAGCCGAGGCACGTCTCGACCCTTCATAGAACACGGCGCCGGCCCTACTGCCAGCCGGCCCCTGCCGCTGCGGCGGTCGGGGGAGACCCGGGGACAGGGCCAGCGGGACACCGGCGGGAAGGCCCCTCACTCCCTCCCCCGTGCCCACCTCCCAG